TGGAATTTTCAGCCTAATTCCAATAATAAATGTTTTGCCTTTTAGTTCAAATGAAAAGAGCAATATTGCTATCGAACCAATTCTTTTATGCACCAATCGGTGCCCTAAAAAGTTCATCATTTTATAATGTGACTACAGATTTGTTCTATATCAAAGCTCTTCTGTATTAGTACCAACCTTCATTCTAGGAAGCAATTTAGCTATTTCTAGAAGAGGTGTAACCATTTGAATCTGAACTTGACCCTTGTGGTGAGCTTGATTTTCTCTCTAATATACTGCTTTTAGAAAAGCAAATTTTCTTTCCTGGCTTTTGCAACTCCTTGCACATAGCAGGTACTCAATAAATATTTATTGAATGGAATTGAATTTGACCTGCTTAGAAGTCATAGTCCTGATGTAGGGTTATTCATTTTTGGCAGAAGCTGTCATAAATCACAGGGTTTAATAGTAATCCAACTGATGAACTGTGCACTCAGCGGCATACCGTAGTTCAGCATTGTGTATTGCACTTTCCCAAGTGCAAATTTAGACAACAGTTTAGCCTACAGGGCCTTGATGAGCTGACTCTGGCCTATTTCACATCTCTCGTACTACTCACTCACAGCCTTCCTTCCTATGCTCCGACCTTTTAGAATAGCTGCGTGTACTCCTCTCTTAACATGCTTGCTCTCTGGTGTCTCTTAAGCCTTTGCACACTCCTTTGCCTAGAATACTCCTTTTGACAAAGTTAAGTATGTGTTTCCTGACAGTCTATGTAGAAATGAGTGAGCTGCTGCTTTTCTCCTGTAGCAGTTTGTACTTGCCTCCATTATAGCACTAAATTCTCCTGTAATTCTTTTCCTAAGCCACCAGTCTTTCCCACTGGACAGCTGCTTGAGGGCAGGTGTGTGATTTATTACTTTCTCTGTTCCCTAGAGCCTGAAACAATGCCTGCCACATAAATGTTTGTTGAATTAACAAATGGGTCCTGAACTTTATGTAAATTTGCAAATGGAATAAAATAAAAATGTAAATGAGTTTAGCAGGGATCATTAATTATATGCCTAATTTTAATTAAATTGTGATATAGTTAGATCAGTCCGAGATTCAGAAGATGCAAGCTCTTGTATTGGATTAATGATATTTTAATGGTCCCTTAATCTTTCTAGTTCTTAGTTTTTTTTTAAATCTGGAAATGAATGGATTGGATGGAATCTTTACTACGATCCCTTAGAGCAAGAATTACATTGCTCTTAAGTTAATTATAGAGAACTACGTCTCTTCTGCCAGACTCTTTGCATCTCTTTGAATCAGGAAGTATGTTCTAGTCATCTATAATTTCCTAGCACTAAGCTCAGTACCTGGCATATAGTAGTTCAAACAATTTCCACCTGATAAAGCGATAAATTCCCACATGGAATTACAGTTTTAAATAAAGCAAATGAGAAAAAAGTTCAGATAAAGAATAGTGAATTAAATATTTGTAAAATGTAAACGTTTCTGTCAAAGAATATTTATGTGGAATGTCTGAAAAAAAAAAAATACCTGACAGAAATTTTGTATTTATCAGTTAAAAAGTTCCCTAGAAGAGGAAATGAATTTCAAGCTGCCTGGTCCCCAAACTACAAGAAAATAGTATATCAGTCTGTGTCATGTTGCACCAAGTTTTATGTTGCTGAAATTAAACCATGCCTGCTGTAGAATGTTGGTGGCAATATTCTTGGTATTTATGTGTACTTGTGATAGTATTTTTGGTTTAAATAATTTAAAAACTGTATTCTTTTTCAAGCATTAAATAATTGACATATTTGGGACTTAATCTTTAGGGCAGAATGAACTCTGATTATACTAATGTATCATGTGTTAAAAGGGGGGTAAAAAAGCTCTGTCAGCCCTTTTCACTATACTTTTGTAAAGATTTGCTATTATTTAGTAAATGAGATGCCATTCTACATTTCCAAGGACTTTCTAGGAGATTAAAATAGTATTATTACTTTTAAACTAAGCCTGTACCTTTGGGTTATTAATTTGAATACTTGATACTTCAGAGTTCAATTGTAAAAATAAAGGAAAAATACAGTCAAACTATTTGTGTAAAAAAATAGCAGTCAACCAATCCATTAGTTTGTTGGTTATATACTCAACAATTCTGCTTTAAGGCATTGTTTACAAAGAGGAAGAATATATGATCATGCCCTGGGTTAATGTGAAAAATATTATCCTAAATTAGGGCCGATGGTTGGAAATTTCAGCCAGATTTTTCTCCCCGTGTACTCCCCCCCAAAAAAAACCCTGATCCCCAATGATTTCTTTTTTTTTCTTTTTATTTTATTTTTATTTTTATTTTTATTTTTTGAGACGGAGTCTTGCTGTCTTGCCCAGACTGGAGTGCAGTGATGTGATCTTGGCTTACTGCAAACTCTGCCTCCCAGGTTCAAATGATTCTCCTGCCTTAGCCTCCTGAGTAGCTGGGATTACAGGCACCTGCTACCACGCCCAGCTAATTTTTGTATTTTTAGTAGAGACGGGGTTTCACCATGTTGGCCAGGCTGGTCTTGAACTCTTGACCTAATGATCTGCCTGCCTTGGCCTCCCAAAGTGCTGGGATTACAGATGTGAGCCTCTGCGCCCGGTCAGTTTCTTTAAGAAAGTAAGTGTGATAGTGCTATAAGAGTACTTTTTAAATTTGTTGGTTCCTTGATTTATTGTGTTTGTTAGGCTTGAAGTTGTTGTAGTTCAATTGTTTATTTGTCCCCGGCACTTTTATGGGTGCCCAGGGGCAGATCCATGTTTTATGCCCCCTGAAACTTACCTAATTTAAAAGAATCTTTCTAAATATAAAGAATACGAAAGTACAAACATCAAATTGTGTATGAGAGTGAATTTTCTTCAGAATGAGAAAAATCCACAAAACACTATAATTTTTAAAAAACAGGTATATCTACAAATGATTAGAGAAATAATCTGCACTAGTTTTTGGCTCCGTACATTTTATACTTTGATTCTCTTCCATTGCCACATATACTTCCAGTTTTGGGTGCCACGAAACACATTCAAATTGCCAGATTTGAATTGGATTTCACTGTTCGCATGATAGGCTAGTCAGCATTTGGGCACTTCAAGTGTTTCTGAAACCATCTTTTAAAAAAAATTCGATTACAGATTTAAAAAATATTGTATTTATTTAAGGTGTATAACGTGATGCTTTGATATATATACACATAGTGAAATGGTTACTACATCAAATAAATTAACATATCCTTTACCTTCCATAATTACCTTTTTGTGGTAAGACCATGTAAACTCTGTTCTCTTAGCAAATTTTCAGAATACAGTATTATTAGCTATAGGCCTCATGCTGTACATTAGATCTTTAGTCATCCTACATACCTGCAAATTTGTACTCTTTGACCTTCTTCTCTCCATTTATTCCCCTCCCCATCCCTGGGGCCCACCCACTGTTCTACTCTCTGTTTCTGTTTGTTTAACTCCTTCTTTTAAGATTCTGCATATGAAAGTGAGATCATATATTCTTTCTTTGCCTGTCTTATTTCAGTTTCATTGGGATTGCTGACAGTAATTAAACCATTTTACAGGAGTGACTGTATGCCTCACATATACCTTTCACTAAACCCAAAGTAAATGTATCTTCAACTCAAATTTCCATTAGCCAGATTCCAAAATCACCCACAGCAACTCCAGTGCCACCCAACAGGAGGCTTTAGCCAATTATGTTTAAGATATTATACTCATAGGCCAAGTGCGGTGGCTCACATGTGTAATCCCAGCACTTTGGGAGGCTGAGGCAGGTGGATCACGAGGTCATGAGTTCAAGACCAGCCTGACCAAGATGGTGAAACCCCGTCTCTACTAAAAATATAAAAATTAGCCAGGCGCAGTGGCAGGCACCTGTAATCCCGGCTACTTGGGAGGCTGAGTCAGGAGAATCGCTGGAACCTGGGCTGCAGAGGTTGCAGTGAGCTGAGATCATGCCACTGCACTCCAGCCTGTGTGACAGACTGAGATTCCATCTTAAAAAAATAAATAAAATAAGATATTATACTCTTGACAATTTTATTAAAAAAAAAAATGACGAGGGCCTTAGAAGAGAGCCATGTATCTTTATGATCTTTATGTGAACATTTAACCTTTTTAAAGAGTGCTGTCCCATTACACTACATAATGCTATTGTGCAATTCTCAATGATATCATTTGAAAGTTATTATGTGAAGAGTTCATTATGCCCTTTCTGGAGGGATAAGAATGTGGTAGACTATCTTACTCTTGGCTAAATCACATGAACATGTAGAAGTGAATACATTAGTTGAATTACTACCTTCTCTGGCTGGCAGAAGGTACTTTCAGTTCTGCAGGCAGCCCGGGAACGCCCCAGTGGTTGGGCAGCACCTGTGATGGGATGACTGAACCGTTATATGCCACATGTTTATAGGCGTGGTAGACAGTATGGGGAGGTGGAAAAGACTGGTTCTGACCTGACACACATTTACTACTTAATAACTCAGTTATTCAAATTGCACCTCTTTGTTTTATTCTCCTCGGGGTTCAGGAACAGTACACCAAAACACTAATTAACAAACTATGAGACAGCACCAGCCGGGAGTTCAATGTAGTAAAATAACATGTAAATGTGAGGCATTGGTTGTTAACAGAAAAGGCCCATTTCCTCATTTTTATTAAAAAAAAGACTATCAGTGATATACAGTGATTAGCATACTGGAGTTCTGTTAACCTATGCACAGTGAGGTATCTTAGAATTAAAGCTTTAGGGGTTCAAAGTAAGGGTATGATATAGAAAAGATTGAATGTAGGAGAACAGAATAGGACTTATTTAGATTATGACAAAAGTGAATATTTGTCAGTTAATAATAAATTGGAGATAGTAAGTTAAGATCATAATTTATATTATGGAAAATGAAGAAATAGGACATGGTTCTATAATTTTTTAATTTTTCTGTGAAATAAAATATTATGATTTATTTTGTTTTTATCTTTGTTTTTAGGTAAGACTGTGCCAAAATCCCAAACTTCAGTTGAAAAATAGCCCACCATATATACTTGATATTTTGCCTGATACATATCAGCATTTACGACTTATACTGAGTAAATATGATGACAACCAGAAACTTGCCCAACTCAGTGAGAATGAGTACTTTAAAATCTACATTGATAGCCTCATGAAAAAGTCAAAACGGGCAATAAGACTCTTTAAAGAAGGCAAGGAGAGAATGTATGAAGAACAGTCACAGGACAGGTAAGAAGAATATTTCAGATGTTTTGGCGTAAAGGTCATTTATGTTGCTTTTTACTTAATAGTTAACCTAAACGTCACCATGTAATTGTTTTGGGGTAAATGTGAATCACTTTGTATACAGTCATGTAGTACTTAACTATGGGGATACTTTATGAGAAATGCATTTTTAGACAATTTCATTGTTGTGTGGACATCATAGAGTGTACTTACACAAGAGCTAGTTGGTATTACCTACTGCACACCTAAGCTATATGGTATAGCCTATTGTTCCTAGGCTGCAAATCTATACAGCATGTTACTGTACTTAATACTGTGGGCAGTCGCAACACAATGGTAAGTATTTGTGTGTCTAAATATACCTAAACATAGAAAAGGCATGGTAAAAATACTGTATAAAAGGCTGGGCGCGGTGGCTCACTCCTGTAATCCCAGCACTTTGGGAGGCTGAGGCGGGTGGATCACTTGAGGTCGGGAGTTTGAGACCCGCCTGACCAACATGGAGAAACCCCATCTCTACTGAAAATACAAAATTAGCCCGGTGTGGTCGTGCATGCCTGTAATCCCAGCTAATCGGGAGGCTGAGGCAGGAGAATAGCTTGAACCTGGGAGGTGAAAGTTGCGGTGAGCTGAGATCGTGCCATTGCACTCCAGCCTGGACAACAAGAACGAAACTGTATCTCAAAAAAAAAAAAAAAAAGAAACTGTATAAAAGATAAAAATGGATAACCTGTATACCATGCGTGGAGCTTGCAGAAATGAAAGTTGCTCTGAAAGTGAGTGAGTGAATGATGGCAAGTTAATGTGAAGGCCTAGGACTGTTACTGTACATTACTGCAGACTTTAGAAACATTTTACACTTAGGCTACACTAAATTTATATAAAAAAAATTTCTTTCTCCAATATGAACAGCTTAGTGTCACTTTTAAACTTCATAAACTTTTAGTTTTTGTTTTTTTTTTTTTTACTTTTTGACTCTGGTATTAACAATTAGCTTAACAAAAATATTTTCTTGATTATTCTATAAGCTTTAAAATATTTTAAAAATTAAGTTGGTTGTTTGTTTTTTTTTTCTACGATTATTATTTCCTGTATAGAACTCATGGTCTGTATAAGGATAATATTTTGAATTCATTGAGGTTTTTTTTTAGATTAGTGTACAATTGTATTAATGTGAAATGCATACTGATAAAGAATACACATTTTATCTTGCTGAATAAAGAATTTTTTATGAACAAAAAAAAAAAAATTAAGTTTTTAGAAAAGTTTATAAACTTCTTTGTTAAAACTAAGACACACACACACACATTGGCCTAGACCTGCACAGTGTCAGGATCATCAATATTACTGTCTTCCACCTCCACATCTTACTCCTCCGGAAGGTCTTCAGGAGCATTAACATGCATGGAGCTATCATCTGTGATAACAGTGCCTTCAGGAATACCTCCTGAAGGGCCTGCCTGAGGCCGTTTTACTGTTAGATATTTTTTAATAAGTAGAAGGAATACCCTGTAAAATAACGTTAAGAAGTATATAGTATAGTAAATGCATCAACTAGTAATATAGTCACTTATAATGTCATTATCAAGTATTATGTATTATGCATAATTATATGTGCTACGCTTTTATGTGACTGGTGACACAGTAGATTTGTTTACACCAGCATCACCACAGACATGTAATATGTTGCACTATGACCTTGTGGTGACTATGACATCACTAGGTAATAGGAATTTTTCAGTTCCATTATAATCTTACTAAAGCACTAACATAAATATGGTCTGTCATTAACTGAAATGTCCTTGACTGAAATGTCATTACAGGGTTCATGACTGTATTTGCTTTTAACATTAATAGCTTTACGTAAATTTACTCACGATAATAGCTAGTTCATGAGACAGTATTCTCAATGTTTTAATAGACTTTATTTTTAGAGCCATTTTAGGTTTACAGGAAAATTATTCAGAAATTATAGTTCCTATAAATCTCCTCTGCCCAAGCAGTTTCTCCTACTCATGTCTTGCATTGGTGTGGCATGTTACAGTTGATAAACTATTGTCTATACGTTATACATTATTATTAACTAAAGCCTAGAGTTTACATTAGGGTCCGCTTTATGTTTTGCACTGTTCTATGCTCCATAAATGCATAATGTCACGTATCTACCATTACAGTATTATATAGAATTGTTTCACTCCCCTAAAAATGCCCCGTGATCTACTTTATTGTCTCACTTCCCCCCTTGAACCCATGGCCACCACTGATCTCTTCACTGTTTACGTAGTTTTGCCTTCTCCACAGTGTTATGTAGTTGGATTCACACAATATGTAACTTTTTCAGATTGACTTTCACCTAACAATTTGCATTTTAGGTTCCTCCGTGCCTTTTCATAACTTGGTAGCTCATTTCTTTATGCCACTGAAGAATACTCCATTGTGTGGTTGTACCAGTTTGGTTTTTCACTCACACCTTGAACTGCATCTCGGTTGCTTCCATTTTTTGGGTAATCATGTATAAAGTTGCAATAAATATTTGTATGTAGGTATTCCTGTGGATTTAGGCTTTTAACTCACTTGGGTAAAATACCTAGCAAGATTGCTGGATTTTCAGGGTATGCATAAGTTTAGAAAGAACATAAGAAACTTTCAAGAAAGTTTGTAAGAAACTCCTTGACTGGTTCCAAAGTGGCTCTACCATTTTTCATTCCCACTGGCAACGAATGACAGTTCTCGGTGCTCCACATCCACACCAGAATTTGGTATTGGAGACAAGTGTTTTAAAGACATAGTTTGATTGAATCTGCGGATGTGGTAGATGTGGGTGGGAGATGTAACTTCCATCTGTATATTTTTACTTAAGTGAGAAACTGAACTGGGCTTTCAAAGACTGAATTGACATCAACCAAATCCTAATTTTATAGCCAGGATTCTTCATTTAGAGATCCTCACTCAAATTTGTTGTTTGGCCATTTTAATGTTAAATTTCAGGATCTATCTTAAACAAAATAAAGAAAATGATAGAGTTTTCCATTTCTGGGCTATCTTAAATATATATGGAATATTCGTGATAGTGATAGTTTATTTAGATTTCCAAATTGGAAAATCATTATTAATGAAAATATATAATGTCTGAATATATTAGTTAAATTTTAGTGTGAGACTCTTAACCTGTCTGTATTTTAGTTTTCTGACATATAGGAAAACCTTTAAGAAACCTCTAAGATTTCTTTCAGGTCAGAAAAACTAGCCCCATTCTGTCTAATAACAGCACAGGGTTGTAAAATAGAAAATTCAGTTATGGAGGTATGCGGACTCTAAATTTTCTATGAATACTGGCCAAATACCCGTAACAAGTAAAACCATCAAATTCAAACATAAAAAACCCTCTTCCAGATGTAAAATGGCATAAATAATTATGTTTTTATAATTTTCTCTCTTAATTAGAGATGGACCCAAACATACTCGTAGACGTCTAACCAATTATGTAACTTTGGGCTCATCACTTAATATTCTTGGGCCACAGTTTATTCATCTTGAGGGTGGTGAATCTTTCAATTGCCTTTTAGCATTAATTAATGCTCTAAAGTTCTCCAGGAGTAACAAGAGGAATTTGAGTTGTCACAATGTGACAGAAGTAAGGTAGAGAAATATTATAGTGATTGTTTATTCTTGTAGACTTTTCAAGAACTGCTAACATCTTGGAAAGCCAGATATTTATATTAAAATTTTATTTTTCACATTGTACTTCTGCCATTGACCTAATAAAACTAAGTTCTTTACAAATGTCTTTATAATTCTTTTTTCAAAGTTAGTAGTTTTGAAATTCTTCCTGATCCAGCCAAGTCATCCATTAAATTTTACTCTTTAGGATATCAGGACATTGATAAGGTATATAACTTCTTTGACTAGGATTTTGAGTGGATACAGTGTTTTAATTGGATGTAATCATATATGATGTGGTCAACTTGTATCCCACTTTTACATCTTCTGTGGAAACTTGAAACATTTTCTAACTCAGTAGATGTTTTATAATTTCCATTTGATAATTTTGATAGTTTTGCTTATGTGGAAACATTTCATGGGGGGCATTTAAGTTTTGATTGATCATGTATAGATTCCCATAGATTTTGATAGCTCTCATAATGCTGACTGTTCACAATGAGGTGTCACTCATTCTGTGTATTCTTGCCTACATTTTAAGTGTCCGAGTGAATTTTGTTCACTGTCCTAAATGCAACCGTAAGACAAAATTTATTAGTTTCTATGCTGATATAGCATATCCTTAATTGGATAGTACTCTCATCTTTGTTCTGTTTACTGACAAGTGTTCTGTGGCCAGCTGTGTTTATGCAGGATTTACATTTGATAAATGTTTCATAATAATTCATAATAATGTACCATTCTTGGTATACCATAACAGGCATATAAACTTTCGAACTGGGCTTCTTTTTCTAGTAATATATTTGGACACATTCATTTCTAGGTTCCCATAGTATTCCAAATGCAAACTGAGTCTAAAATGTGCCATTGCACACGGAGCTCTGAGGCATTTTGCTCTACAGAACATAGAAGAGTCTTCTTAGCATGTTTTCATGTACAGAGTGGCCTCATTGTGAAAAATCAGCATTATGAGTTCTATCAATCTATGAAAATCTATACATTACCAATCAAAACTTAAAAGTCTCCTATGAAATGTTTCTACATAAGCAAAACAATCAAAGGTAGTTAGGCAACAAAGTTAGTAGAATGACTCCACCTAATAGGTATGACAACGCTCATTACTGGGAATATTATAAATTCACTAAAGAATCGTTTCTTTGATTCTGTAAGTAGCTCACTAGGGGCATTACTATAATTGCACAAAAAATGGAGGACAGTAATAGTAGAAACAGTAATTTGGAGTTAATTGACTTAATCAGTATTACCTCATGTGATTCTGCCCACTTTATTGAAGAAATAGTGCTGGATGAGTACATGAGTCAAAATGCGTTTTGTTTTTGTTT